TTATAATATTCATCATAATAAGTAGTGTGAATTTTAAAGTCTTTCAGCATAGAATAGAACAAGAAAATAAAGTTGTAGTTAATAATATCTAGAAATATATCAGCATTGTTATAATATCTATACATAGTGCCAATTTATTCTACTTAGACATTAATATCAAAAAGATGTAGTTTCGGGGGCTAAGAATGTACGCATCAACGTAGAAACGTTACGCACAACACTATTTAAAGGCATTTAACTGCAAATAAAAAGATATATACCATCAAGCAGTACAATTTTCCTTTACTTGAATGAGGAAAAATATAATATAATTAGCCAGTAGAATTAGTCAAAACAGAAATACACATTTTCAGCCAATTAATCATTCAATAACTGGCTAGATTTGTAACTTCCTCAAAGCAATAAAAAGCAAACAGTATGATGAATATTACAAACTATTACGACAAAGGTTTAATTGAAAATACAATGCTTATTATGATGAATATTATAAGCTATTTACATAAGAATTAATCACAGATACTCTTAAAATTCACACTACTTATTATGATGAATATTATAAGCTATTTACATGAGGATTAATTACAGATACTCACGTCCTTTACCTCACATTCAAATTATGGTCAACAACTTTTTAAACAACATGTTTTAGGTTTAGTATTATTAGTAGCCTGCTTGTTTAATCTTATTGTATTACTTTTGTGAAAGGGTTTATGGAGAAGTAATAGTTATTTTTCTTAAGTGTAACTAATTACTGAAAAGCATTTATTTTAATACACTTCTGTCATATTTGTTGCTAGAAGTTGAGTGGATTTTTGTTAGAGGTAGTTAACTTCTTCCCTCTTATTGTTTCAATAATTATTTTAACCCTTAAAAGAATTTCAAATTTAGAGGCAACCTACAGAGAAACAAGTTCAACTGGCTGTACTCTGGTAACCAAAAGAGTTTATCAGATTTGATTTTGATGTCAGGTGTGTTCATTAAGTTTATTTAAAGCTAACGTTTTATATTTTTCAACAGATTCTTTTAGAGAAGTGGGAGAAAACGAAAAATGATAAAGAAAAAGAAGAAATTAAACAAGTAGGTGGATTTTACATTTTAAAAGTAAAATGACACACTCCAGGTTAAAATGTTGTAGGTAATCATTCACTCTAACTATAGTTTTTATTTCTTCTTGTCCAACTGGCTGTTGGTAGCCTTCTATTTTTGATTGTCAAGATTGGTTGTAAATAGTTTGCTATTTTTGATTACCATGTGGTTGTGAAACTCTATATTTGTTCAACTGGCTATTATTATTTCTGGTTATCTAACTGGTTGTAAATAGTTTCTTTTTGTAGTTATCCAACTATCTATAATTAGTTTGTTGTTTCTGACTGTCTAACTGACTGTAAATGGTTTTTATTTCTAGTTAGCCAGCTGGTTGTAAATTGTTTTATATTTCAGGTTATCAAAACCAGCTGTAAGTATTAATAGGTAGGCAGAGAATGATTCTGAAGAAGACAGACCAATATTCTGTTTCAACATGTTCCACCATCAATAATACTTTTCCTTATAAATCATTGTTTGCCTTCTTATTATTGTATTAGCATAATGTGCTTCCTTACTCGAGTAGCTGTAAGTAGTTCGCTGTTTCTGGTTGTCTAACTGGCTGTAAATGATTTTATGTTTCTAGTTAATTCATTCTAAGCCTGCTGAACCCATTTCTTGTACTAAGTGTCATTCTTAGGGTTTTCACTGATAGTTGCTGACTCCTAAAGTGGAGTGCAAGAGGAAGAAGATAGATCCTTTATGTTACCAGTGAATTTCTGGCCATATGCTGTCCTATTGCAGCCCAGCTTTTGCTTTTCTTAGCTGCACCATATGGTACTTCTTTCTTATTCCTTCTGAATGTCCCTGAAATATTTTTGCTTCCCATTTTTGCTTTATGTGTGAAGAGGAGGTTGATATCCTGTCAGTAGAGTTCTGCTTCACCCATGGATGGCCTGGTACATATGTATAGGTGGTGGTCTTACTGTGCAGATACTCTGCCATCTGTCATAGGATCTGAAGTCTATGTTGTTTTTTTCTGGAAATTATTCAAATATTATATTGGAGACAACAGTCCAGAGAAGAGCTTGCTTTATGGTTTCCAGCTCTATCCTTTTTGGATTGATAATGTTCCTTACACAGTAGGGCTCTAGTGAAAACATCTGCAGCTATTAATGGCTGGAG